ATTTTAGTTGCTTTAAAAACTTAGAATTATCAGCTTAAATTTGTATTGTAAAGAAAGAAAATTAAGAGATGTAAACACTTTTTGGCTTCATTGCTTTGAAAAATAAAAAATATATACAATTGTAAATTGGGTTGGTCTATTTGGTGTCATATAGGTAGTAGCCCGAGAATAGCTGGTTTGATTTTTTTTCATACCTTTGGTGCCTTAAGTTATCAAATTTTACCCTAAACTGTAAAACTTTGTTAACATATTTTGACATTATCGGGCGGGTCTAGCAATTCACTTCCGAGTAAATTTCAACCCCTGGCAATTTGAATTCAAAGCGAGTTTGATTAAAATTCACTCGGATTGAATTGCAGAACCTGCATGATTAGTGCTGTTACCTGACAAGAGTACAATCCCAGTAGATAATTTCACGAGTTAAAAGCCCTTCCGAAAAACTTTCCTGAGAGTCAAGAGGCATTCCACTCTACATTCCTTTCTCCTTTCTTTTTTGTATGGAGTGGCACAAATTGAAGGGCTTCTTCTTTCGTTACCCATAGAACGCCTTCAGAAGGCCTTTTGGAGAAGTTCTTTTCAAGTTGCTTCTTTAATTTATAGAAATCATACATATTTAATTATGTGTTATTGCAACTTAAAATGTTTATTGAAATTCATTTGTAATCCTTAATGATATGAATTTATCCATTCGCATAAATTGTAAATGAATAAGCCCTTCTAGAAGAAATGGCTTCACTTAAGAGGGCGTACCTAAATTATCTTCTTTTTAAATAGATTAAATGCACCGGCATCCGACATTTCTTTTTCAGATTCCAGCATACAGTATTACAGTATACAGCTATTGTAGTGAGTGAAACCAGCTGTAATTTTATTTTGTTCGATCACGGATGCCGTAATTCGGGCCCAGTTTCTGCTAAGAAAGAGCTCATTATAATACGAGTAACAAGCATTGGGGTAAAAATCGTGAGAATTTTGTTTCGGCTGTTCCACCAAGTGTACAATATATATGTATAGTCCCTGCAGAAAAATTTAGAGACAGTCTGGCAAAGCGCTAGTTCCGAACTAAATATTTCAGAACTATCTCTGAACTAGTAAAAACGGCTACAGAGCGAGACAGTTGAAACTTGCGGTTTATGTAAGTGTACACATTCTCACTTCTCGTACAATATGAAAGTAGCTCAGCGTGAAGACCTCCGACTCAAGCATCGTTGGTCGCGAGTTCAAATCGAGGTGGAGGCAGTTGTGAGTTTTCAGATTTAATGAATTTAAATTGTTGCGTGCCGCTTACAATATTTTTATAAAATATGTAACAAACATGGAATCTGGAATATCCAAAAATCGAATTTTAAAAACGAATTAAAAAACTAG